TAGGGCGCTATATCAAATGTTGTATATTATTATTATTTTATTATTATGTATTATGACATTTATATTTGCTCTGCATCCTTACATCGCAATGCATAGAGGATATGTGTTATCAGACTATAACAGCATCTCTTATTGTGATAACATTGACTTTGTTGTTCCAAGATCGCAATAAACATAGCTACTCAAGATTGTTAGCAATACCAATGCGTGTTGTAAGACCATAACAACATTCGCTAAAACACGCAGCGAAAATAATGAACATACCATTGTATTAAAGAGGAACAACATATCGTATAATGTCAGTGCATCGGATATTTAACTACTGTTTTGTTTTCCTCCTGCCAGCACAACACTTTAGCACCGAGCGCGCTGAATCTAGAAAACAGCTCGACATGAAAATTTTGAGCAAAAAAAATGAAATTACGGTAAGTCTTATATTAAATAAACTATAGGCATAAAATGTCTACAGTGTTTTTGTATTTTGCAATCTAAATCAAAACACGCATATTTGTAATCAAACATTTGGATGGTATACCTATTTCTTCACAGGGTCTACAGAATACCAAACTGACATGCGCCGTTAACGCTGTTGTGCAGGTATGTACTTTTGTGTTCTAGTCTTTGAATAATTATAAATGTAAATATACATTCATGTTATAGATATTTGACATCAGCTGATAATGATAGTATGTATACCGTGTTTTATCCCCAGGTGTTGGCTCAAACACCAGGATTTTCGGAGACTATATACGAATTCGGAGGAAAAGTGAGTTTACAGTAGATGCTCATATTTTTCAATATTTGATGCAAGAATATCTTGTCACACATCACGGTCTCAAACATTGCTGTAAAGTACTTATCACAAACTTAAACAAATAAAGTTAATTTAATGAAAATATCATGATGATTACAGGTGTAACAACATAAGATTACTGTTTTTTTTAATTATATTCCAAATGTCGTGCAGTTTTTGTTAAAAACATCTATTTTGTTTGATCTCAAATAACAACGGTGTAAATCGTTAGTACGTGGATTTTGTTCTATTATCAAATAATCGAAACGTCAATGAAAATTAGGGCATGTTTTGTATCTAAAGTGTAAACAAGAAGCGGTCCTGGCAAATGTGCTTATCAATAGTATTACTGATGTCAACAACGCTTCGGGTATCATCAATGCTGAAGGCTTACAGGAAGAAATGATTACAAGGTAACATGATATAACCAACGAGGGAATATTTTCTACAGAATGACATTAAATCATGTTTTATATAGATGGTAAATAAAAGATTAGATATTAATTATATTTCGTAAATTGTAGCTGCTTTTCGACAGATTTCCGTGATGCTGCATATCTCGGACGCATAAAATGACAAAACATATGCCGATTCAAAACAAAGTACCATTTCATAGCTGAGATCGTTACAGGTGTTTTCTTATAACGTTGTCGATTAACTTGCAGAAGAAACAGCTTTCACTTTTGGAGACAACATGATTGTCTTTCGTTTCTCCTTTTCCTCCTGGAAGCTTTAGAAGAAGAGTTGGGAAACGGTTAGTGCTTTTTGTTAAGCGACAGAATACAAATTGCTTTATTGCTTGTTATCTCATTTCTTCTTATTTTTTGTTCAAATAATAATGAAAAACGAATATAACACTCTTGAGCACTGACATTTGATGCATATTAAAATAAAATATAGCATGTAATTTATAATATTTAATGTTCAATCGATTTGCGCGTGTGTTGAAATGAACATTAGAACAAAAAAGACGAATTAAGCAGAATGTATCTTGATACTGTAACATGCTCATGAGTTCTAACGGATATATCAAGGTTGAGATATTTATTTTGAATGTTTACGATTGTTTCTTTCTCTCTTCTAGACAGTATGAAATTGTTCACTGGACAAATGCGGAATCGTTTCAAATACGACAACTGTGAACACGTAAGGATGACTCCCTTCATAAAGTGAACAATACATAAGTGTAAAAGCAAATTAAACAAATGGCAATACAATATATTAATTCGATATACTTACCAATTAGTAACTGTGAAATCAGATATTTTCACGGGGCCCAAATTTTGTGGTTTTCCGACAAAATAACAATAACTTTCCATTGGTATATGAAATCGTGGATTACTAGTACTCACTCCAACGGAGAATTGCTTTATATCAAGCTTGGTAATACTTCGTGGACCTATGAATTCATGCCCACGAAAACAGTATATCAATAATACCCACAAAAAGTAGTGGTTTCACAGTATACTGAAATTTAAGTGTCTATTTTTCAGACGGAGCATTCCTCTTTGCAGAACTTCAAATCTTTGTGTATTCCCATGAACAACAGCGAGGTAATTACTAGAGATGGGAAAATCCAATAGAAATTCATGTAGCCAATTTTCGGCATCAAAATCAACAATGGCAGTATAATTCTCCATTGCTGATTGTATGAAGATATATAGCAGTGGCTGTCTTGGTATGGACATGACCATATGTAGAACAACAGATATGTCTTTGTGTAGACAAATGTTATCATGGAATTTAACCTTGTTGCTTGCGCTTTGATTTCAGAATTCAGTTGAAAAATATCTAAAAATGCTATTCCGAGCTGAGAACCTGATAGATTCGGGCATGTACTGCCGGTCGTGTGGGAAAGGTAATGTTTACAGATTAAGTCTAATTTTCCAACGACGTGATATTGTGTCGCGTTTAAAAGCCTGTAATACATATATTAATGTTATAAAAGCATTTATATTGCGTGAGAAAAAATATTTTGAAATTCCTAAGACAAATAAACAGCAAAATTTAACATAAAGCAAAAACTATTCATATATGTTAACATTTTAAAAGCAGACGTTTCTTTTCCTAGGTACAGCTAGCAGAAAGTTGCTGAAACATGATATCTGCAGTAAGGAATTGTTGATTGAGGAGTCTCCACAAATTCTTGTTCTACAACTAGCCAAATTTGAAGAGGTCTGTTTTCAATATCAGTACGTTTTGTTAAGAATAATTGCAGAATAAAGCATGCATGATAGAATGTCTGGATTTATAACTTTGTTTAGGTAAATAAATATACTTCAAATTTCTATTCAGAAATGCAGTCTTATTACTTACTTTCCAGTCAAGAAAATGACAATAGTATCTATCAGACCTCGACTTATTTAACTTATGCAGTATATTTCTTGAAAGGTTAAAGACATATATGGACATACGAAACTAGACAAAAGACATGTTCCTATGTTATACAGCGATACACTGCAGCTGCAAGAGGTAAGTCCACATATCAAATGCAAGAGTAAGACCTTTATTTAGTTATTAATAAATTATCTTTTCATCTATATGTGTATGTAAATCTTAAAGCTGTTCATAAACTTCACAAACTGTTATGAAGACCTCGATTCAAAATAAACCTTTATAAATAGGTTTATTGAAAGTAATGCATGAAACACACATTGCTATTGCTGGCAAACTGACATTAGTTTCTGGCAGGTTTTGTTAGTTTGTTATCCACAGCAATGCATGTAATATGACTACAAAACAGTTACAGATGCTCTGCACACTCGAATTGACCTGTATAGAGAATGCAATCAGTGTTGTGAGATTATACTACCATTTAGTCAGGTAATCACTTTGGTGATGCCACGGAAAACAAATAATTCTGTATCAAGAACTTCACTAACTATCTTTAGGAGAGGGAAACACAGACTAATCTATCTATAATGCAAATACCAGTAAATGAATGTATCAGCAGCTGATGTGGTGGCCCTTTATCACGTATAACTATTACTGATAAACTAACATAAAGCCCTGTCAGTCTATATTTGTCAGCAACAGTAATTAGTCTTACAGGGCCAAAACACACTATTTGCTATTTCATTCCATGCTTAGTAAATTATATACAAATACTTTATTCATTATATAACAATTTCATTTTTTATAATGTCAGGGCGAATCACCTTCCAGAGTCAAATACGAGTTGTTCGCTATCATCTCCCACCTCGGAACAATAGAAGGTGGCCACTACGTTTCGTATGTACAGACAATACAAAGTCAGCGCGAGTGTGCTAGATTTGACCGTCATGACCGACGCTCCAGTACATGGTACCATTGCACAGACTCTGTGGTAACGCGTCTGGAACCAGAGGCAGGATATCCTACCTGCCCAAATGCGTACATCCTTTTTTATCACAAACAACCCCGAAAATAATGGAAGAGTGAATAAAATGCCATAATGTATAAGATCTTATAAGTCGTATTTTCGCTCCACACAGCAAACAGCTTCACATTCATATCACATTCCGCCTTACAAGATAATTGCAAAAACTTTTCACTGAAGGCAAATTTCGATGCATTTCCACGGTTTAACGCTTTGTGCTTTTGAACATTAAAGGAAAAGCATTATCTCAACATTTGTTGTCGTTATAACATTTTGTTTTAACACTGATTACATTTTGTACAACTTGTTCTTGTTGAGCTTAAGCCGATATACTTTAATGTAAACCTGTATTGAAATAAAATCAGAAACATCATTAATGAGTTCCACCCGATGGTAATAGGGAAAGGGGAAGATAAATAGTTCAAATAATTTGTATTCTCATCCCGTACGTACTACACTTAAGAAAAAAAATGATAAACATCTATATATATATATATCAGAACATGTCTAAAATAGCGGGGTATACGGTCTGAATAATTTTCACTGAGACTTTTCTCAACACTATGTGACACCCATTGCATCTATAATAAAAATATCTCCTATTTCATTCTTTCTTTACCTATCGGATGAATAAAGCGTTGCCGCTATAATCAAATTTACCTGCGAAACACTCTAAAGAATTTTAAATAATAGAAATTCACTTCGAGTCTTCTACCTGATTGAACTTATTTGAGAAGTCTGTACACATAGGGTCCTTTAAATGTACGACTTATATAGTTTTAGGTTTCAAATCGGAGAGAGAAGGTGTCCTTATCTTAGCTGTAGATATATTCCCGTCACGCACCTGCAGGCGACGCCATTGAATGGTAGCGGTATATATCACCGCTATCGAGTAGCCGGTCCACAAGATTAGGTGTGCGATACCATATAAATAAACCCGTCACTCAACCAAATCTTATTTAGCTATAGATAAAAAAAATCTAAGTAGGCGAAATGTTTTCTTTAGAATTAAAGAATGGTTGTTTACCCTAACTCTTACTTGAAGTGTACAGCGTGTCTCTTACAAACCATTTACTGCGCGGAAATAGTCGGGGTATCACACTGCTGATAGTCAACATTCAACATTTAACATTTCAACATTAGGTGAAACATTTCGACATTAGTATATGGAGGATGGAATTACGTCGTTAATGAGAACAGGTGAGATTACGTATCATTGGGTCAGGTAATCGAGCTAAAATAGTGTATTTGTCTGTACCAATAACCTAGTATATCCTACTTTACATCTTGTGTAGTCGGACATTTTACAGAAATTGTTCAATGACGGTTTATTTAAAATATATCCTAAATCATCTTTCCTTTTGTGACGTATGTTCACTACTTCAGCTAATATTACTTGTGACGAGACTAACTTGACTAATAAAATGTAGATGACATTACGTATACGTGTACATGTAGGTCTTATATCTATACCGTAAGAAAGGCGACAAGTGATTAAACCATTAAAAATATTAGTGACGGATCCAGGGTTACTGTAGAGATGGGGTACAGAACACTTCTTACAAATACATTCCCTCGTCATGTTTAATGTACCCGCCACTAAATTTGACCACATAAGGTGGTCCCGTTTTCAGTTTTGTTGTGTTTTTCAATCAAAATTGCCAAAACAACAGAAAAAACAAACGATTTTTAACCTGATGGTGAACAAATCGCGAAAATATTAATTAAGAAAATATCAATTATCTAAATTTTAAATTAAGGTGTAATTAAGTTGATAATACTTGATACAACAGGCTATCCTATAAAATGGTATATAGAATTCCAACAGGAATATACTATTCCACTTGTCAATACGGTATTTCCTTCGCGTCTGTACCATTTTCTCGTCTATGGTATTCGCCTAGAGTGAATACGACTGTTCCTTTACGTCTACATTTTACCCCTTTTCCGAAATTAACTTTACCTTCTGTGTACGTCATTATACCTCTGTGAATACCTGTAATGACAGGTTTAAATTCTAATTGGATTTTGTTGTATGTTTACCAGTCAATTAGTCACGAAAACGTCTACCTAAACTTCTGAGGTTATCTCAAACCTAACCCTTTAATAAAATAAAGTACACTTTCGATTTGTATAGAACCTTTGTAAACACACAAGTAAAAAAATACACACATACACACAAACAAACAAAAGTGCATTCTGATCTTTTGACAGATTATATTTTCACCGTAACGGGCACATGTGTTCTTTTACAAGTCAACGCGGTTTAATCAGAAAGACAGTCAGAATAACAGGTTTACCATTATTCCTTCAATCACGGAGTTACCTTTACCGTAGTGCTGGCACAAACAATATTATCACTGTGTCGCCCTTGATATGTTTTATATAACCAAATGACGTTTGATACGTCGTATTCGATTTATTAAAGAACATTTTCATAACAAAATAAGTGAAGTGAAAATACCCAACTCTCAGTGAAAATGAGGTTTTGTATGCTTAAGAGATTTATGTGAAATCGCTGAAGGGGTAACAACATCATGAGGTATACCTGATATAACACTAACAGGATTTAACACTGTATTGTGAACTTCGATTGATCGCAAAGAACAACTATTTTACAATCAGCTTTATGTATTAGCAGGCACTTCAAGGTCTTAGGTAGTGTCAAGTAAAATTGAAAATAAATAAAACACATCGTCAACATGTAAGGACATTACTCAAGTCAAACACTAAAAGAGGAGACACCAAAATATAAATTATGATACCGTATGCCTACTGAAAAAGGAATGCAACACTACGTGCTCAGCTGGAAAAATGAGTCCAAACACTTGTCAGTGAAGAGCTGTGCTACCACTCGAATACAGTTGTAATAAACTGGCACTGAACGTTAATTAGACATACCGGATCTTAGATTTTCTACCATTGCTATCACTAATGGAAATACATTACATTACATCTTTCCATGAGAAATGTTAGCCCTCGAAACTTTATACAGTCAACAATCATACTGTGTTGGAGACCATTTTATGTGAAACTAGTTGACCGATATTTTTATTGTATCATAATTGCCCACAAGCTAACACCGATATGATGTGTGTGCACACCGTTTATCATTGTCAGAAGAGGGCTTTTATAATATTACTAATATTACATGTAGCTCCATTCCTATTGTTAGACATATATACAATAAAATATTCTGAAACGACAAATCTATCACCAGAATATTGTGATATGTTTACTTAGCTAGCAAATAACCATAATTTCAAACCACTGCACCAAGTATTTACCAATCCAATTGATGTTTGTATTAAAATCATGCATAACTACTATAAACCTAATGTAAATAAATTAAAAAAACATCACCAAACCCGATCTTTCATCCTAATACATATTTAATAAACAAATACAAATAAACACATTCATTTCCAAACCATGCCAACTGTGTTATGGAAGCCATAAGTGTAACCCTATACTCTGTCAATATTTCGAATTAGTTTCCTCCACAATACTCGTAATACAGTATTTGTTAACCAATCCAATTTGATAACGTAATATTGACAAAACTAAATGAGAAAATTCCTCGCATATCCTATACTCGATAACACAATATATTGCCCATGACCTGAGTTAGGTTGCCCATTTGTATAATAACCGATATTAGAGTTGGATAACTGTCACTCCAATGAACCAAGTCTGCATCACGCTTCTCGGATAATATAGTAACAAACATGATTAGCATTGACCACAATTACACTTCCAAAACTGACGAATAGCTTTAGATGCTACTAAGTAGTAATCAGTTGGTTTGAGCGGTTAG